AGAAGAGGATGAAAGCTTGAAGATATCAGTTTTGTAAGTTCCTCCTCTAAGAAAAACAAAGCCATTGATCGTGTATATATATCACCACCAAGCCATTAACCCTAATTGGAAAAACAAAAAAAAACAAACTGAGAAGCCCATAATTTTACTTTAATCCAAAAAAGTTAGCCCACTATGTTTATTTATTAATGAAATATTATAAATTGTATAAACAAACTTTATAAGTATACGTAGGCGATGGTATTAGATCTATTTGCATCATGAGCTTATTGGAAACAGATTTATAATTTATAAAACTTTCCAGCCATGTCAAAGAGGGCCTTTTCCATACAATATCTAATAATATCTAATAAGATTCAAGGAATTAAACAGAATCACTCATATAGCGATTAAACATGAAAATGATGAGATAAAGAGCCATGATCATAAACATGAGGATTGGATTCGTCATTGCTGTTACAAGTGGATTCGATTGGATACTTGAGAATGCTTGATATGAGAGAGTGAGAGAGAACTTGAAAGTAAAATCGAGATCGAGAGAGATAGAAAGACAAGAAGGAAGAGAGAAAATTGAAAAAGATAGAAAGATGAGAAGGAAGAGAAAAAATTGGTCGTTCGTATGCTTTTTGTGGACTTTCTTTTTAACCAAATACCACCTCTAGAGGTGGTATTGTTTTATTATTATTTTTGCACTAAAAAAGTGTCCAAAGTCTCTCCAAATCTATTTTCAGTATTTTTCTAAAAACATTTTGTGAAGTTTGAATAACAGTGGATTTGCTTTGGTTTTTATAAATTCTTAATTGAATAACAAGAAATTTGGAATTATTCGAAGTGATTTTATATAAATTCCAGTTTCAATAACATGGAATTTGCGAAGAGATTTTAAAATCACTAATTTAATAACGGGTGATTTTAACAAAAAACCAAAAATTTTAAAAATCACTGTTTGAATACACTCCCCTAAGTGTTTCACAACATATGAACTCATAAATAGTAAAACTCAAGTATACGTAAGAAATATGAGTTCAATGAGTAATGAAATAGTAAAACATACTTCAAAATTTATTTTCAAACTACACACATTTTTCAAACAAAATAATTTGCATAACTACTTTCCATTTACTAAAGAAAATAAGTTGTTTTCTCAAAGTATCTAAGCATACCGAGGTATTTTGGACCGAATATAAAAATAATTAATTTTTTAAAAGGTAGCTTAATATTTATAATGTATATTTACTCACAAAATATTTTATATATTATTTTAATTTCAAACCTACGCAAAGCGTGGTGCATTTTCTAGTCAATACAATAATAACAATAGGTTCTCTCTTAGGTTGACACATCAGCTTTTTAAGCTGTTCTCAGCATGACACATCATTAAGAACTACTGTCCAATCAAATTATAACAATTAATACAAGTCATTATTTTCGTCTAGGAGAAATCCTCCCCTATTCCACATCATTTTCTGACATCATCATCTTGGGCTTTTTAAATTTATATATGGTTCATCTTGGTTTTTTTTTTTAATCTTGGTTATAACCCCAAATGTGCTAGGTTTTGTTGAAATAGGCTTATGGGTTTCGGTTAAATAGAGCTAGTTCTATAACAGAGTTGTGTTTGGGAGCTTGATTTGGTGAATAATAAAGTTGAGAAGCTCTGGATAGTTGGTGGGGTGGGTTATTGGATTTCTTCACTTTCTTCATTTGTTGAGTCAGCAACAAGATCAAGGATCTGCTGATTTTGGGTATTTTTATCAAAATCTGAAAATTGATAATTCAAAAAGAAGGTTGATGTAGTTATCAAGGTCTTTGGTGAAGTTTGTTTCTGACAAAATTCGATCCTTAAAGTTTATATTTGTTGATCTTAGGATTATTCAATCGTCACATCAAAGCTTCCAACATTTTGATATGCCGAGATTACGAAGCTCAAGTATTGATTGATGCAACAAAATGCAATCAAAAATTTTTGTGTATGTACTGAGAATTTGATATGAATTGGGTTTGCAGATTTCAGATTTTGGACTACTTAAGTGGTTCCTAGAGAATTCGCCTCATCCCATTGTTTTCCCTAACGAATGCACATTCGGGTCAGACGTTGAATTCCACAGCTACAGTATCTTTATGTGAACCTTTCTTCTCGATGTTTTTGAGTCCAAAACCTGGTTGGTTCTTTATGCACGTTATCGTAGATGAGAAGCCAGATGTGTTTGTGTTTGGTGTATTGCTTATGGAGATCAAAACTGTGTCTTATACCGAAACAATGAATTCTCTACCATGATGAAGGTTAGTTTCTATATATAATATGGTTAGATTCTATATATAATACTCTATTTTTTTTTTCTTCTGATACTTAATCGACAATCAGAAACTGTTTTAAATTTAACAGAAGGCATGAATTTAAAATTTTAAAATTATCAATAAAAATTTCAAATGTGAATAAGTTGTGTCTACATAATGTGTTCTAAAGGAAATATGTGTCTAAACCAAAAGAAAACAAACTTCACTTAAACATAGTGCATATAGTATATGAAACGGAAAATTTCTTTGTAAATGAAACAACTATCACATACGTGATCAAAATCTCCAGCAACGCACTCGTCATCAACCTCAATTTGAGTTGAGGTTTTGATATTCCTCGAGAAAAGCTATTGGAATCATCCTTAAGGTTTTCTGAAACAGTGAAAATCAAAACTTAAAAAGCAAAAGTCCTAGAGTTTACCTAATCCTTAAACTTGTGGAACTAACAATCTCTCCCCGGCAACGGCGCCAAAAACATGATCGTGTCGCGGGACGTGTATCAGGTTTTAAAAATCCCAAATAACACAATTAATAAGCTGCAAGTGCATAGCAATCAATCGTAGTACTTAGGGTATCGAATCCACAGAGAGAGAAGTAGTTCGGACAAGCTTATTAAGACAAGTAAAGCTAGAACAAACAAATAAAAGGAGTTGGTTGTGGTGTCACGATTTGCAAGTAAAAAATAAGAAAGCAAGTAAAGAAAGCAAGTAAATGAACGCGGGAAACAAAGCAAGTAAATCAATAAGAGACAAACGTTGGGCATCAAGGGTATCGCAGGGGGTTCAATGATCGCTATCTAAGTAATACTAGAATTAGGTTTGTTTACTTCCAAGTCTCGGACATACGAAACACTAAGATTCGGCTTATACTAGGTTATAGGATAAGTCGGCTAAAATCCTTATACTCCGTTACTCAACTAACGCAGGCAACGACGCATATATCAAAGCAATAAGATCAAGTTCGATTCTAGTCCATAAAGCCCTATAACTAAGTGGTGTGTGCTTGTTATAACACGATACACATTCGTAAGCTAGGTCTAGCGTATTAAACAACCTTGTGAGCAATTTAAACACTTGGGATCACGAGTTAGGACATGAATCTAACTACATGCATTAAGAAACAACTTACTTAGAAAGAATACAGTGTAAACGATCAAACAAAACCCTAGATATTGCCACCTAAATGATCGGCCATATTCCCCCCTTTGATTAACCCTTTAAACCCAACTAGAAAACTACTCTAGCATGGTTAAAGTGATCATCAAAGTTAGGTTTGATAAACTCATTAGAAAGAGAAGAATAAGAACTGAATAGGGTTTAGAGATTACTTCTTTGAATGTAAAATAAAAGAGGTAAGACTTCACCTTAATAGATCTTAGAGTAAACAAGAGAAAAGAGAGAGAGATTCGGTGATTCTTCAAAGCTTCAAGGAACGACGGCTGCAGCTCACGGTGAGGGCAGAGAAGACTTGATAGGCACGGTGGAGGCTCTTCGAAGGCACACCTAGGGCTAGGGCTTCAACATGTATTTATAGGGTTTGAAGACCAAGAATTAGGTCTAGGGGTAAAAGCATCTTTTCCCGTGATTAGGTTTAAGTGCAAACTCGAGTTTCATGCAAGGGAGAAGTCTTAAGGGCCGGTGTGGAGAGCGAGAGGCAGCCCAGGCTCGGCCCAAGTGGCCGGTGTGGCCCAGAAGCTCCGGATCGGTTGAATAGCTTCTGGCCTGTCTGGACATGTCTTCACTCTTCTGGTCATAACTTCCTAACGGCTCGTTGAAAAGCTCTGATTCCACTTCGAGACGAATCTTGACTCTTCTAGCTTTCCACAAAAACCGAGATCTCTTGATTTAGTAACCGGGATGACCTCGACCGTATGCCATACTTCTGACGTACAGAAGCTGTCTTGAAACGGGTTTTGATCGCCTTTGGGTAAAAAAAACTCAAAAACTCTTAAAACCTTCTTGGCTCCATAAATACTTGAATAACACCTTCTTAGCTCTGAAATCACTCCAAATTCTCCCTAAAACATAAGAAAACAATAAAAAAAATATGGGCGAAAATCCCATGTTATCAATCATCATCTCAAGCTTACTTCCTTGAGAAGGTGCGGCTTGGATTGGTCCGGCTTGGAAAGGCACCTTGTTGTTGTTGTTATTGTTGTTGTTGTTGAAGGGGGCTCTCGGCTGGAAGTTGTTACCACCGTAGTTGGCGTTTTGAAAGCGGTTTTGAAACGGCTTTGGTTGCGGATAGCGTTGGTCTTGAGGATTCTCCACATTCGGGTTCCTGTAAGAAAGGTTAGAATTATTGCGAAAGTTGTTGTTGTACCCTCGGTTTTGGTAGAATCCTTGGTACCAACATAGTTTACTTCCTCTTCTTGGTTGAATGTATCATCGAACTCTTGGAAAGCCTCGGTGTTTCCATTACCAATCGTCTCACATGAGTTGACGGCACGGTTCTGGTTCCTTAGAAGTTGATTCATCATTCCCTTCAGCTCGGCAATTTGCTTTGCGTCGGAATCATTAGAACGGGTTGTTCTATCAAAATTGGTGGAAGCATTACTGTTGCTTGTGGCGAGATTCTCTATCAAGTCACGTCCTTCTTGAACAGTTTTGGTAGTGAAATCTCCATTGCTCGCCGTGTCTAGTGAAAGTTGAAACTTGGAATGTAATCCTCTATAGAAAGTACTTAAGTGGTTACCTTCCGGGAAGCCATGGTGAGGACAATCGCGTTCGTAGTCCTTGAATCGTTCCCATGCTTCGTGAAATGATTCAACAGGTCCTTGTTGGAATCCTTGCAGCTTATTTCTTAGAGAATTGGACCGTGACTTCGTGTAGAAGTGATTGAGAAAGGTTGACATGCATCCTTCCCAATTGTTAATCGATCCAGGAGGTAAAGACTTTAACCATCTATGAGCCTTGTCGGATAATGAGAAGGGAAAAAGCTTACACTTCAAATAATCGTCGGGTACTCCACCGGATTGTGTTGTACTGCAGATTTCTTCGAAAAGATCGATGTGATCCATCGGGTGCTCCGTGTTTAAACCATGGAATTTGTTTTTCTTCACAAAACCAATGATTTGAGGTTTGATCTCGTAGTCACGTCTTGGAGGATTAGGTACTCGTATGGCAGCTCGATCTTCCGGGTATTGATTTGGCGCATCATAATCGGCTATCGTACGGTGTGGAGCGGCTCGTCTCAAAGGAGGAACTTAAGCGGCATGTCTTGCAGCAACATTAAGAGGATGTTGGGCATTGATGACATTAGCGGGCTGTAGAAGATTTAGGTTGTCTCCCACGCCTGGAGGATTAGCTTCCGGAGGAGCTTGTTGATCACGTTCTTGGCCATCTTGGGGGTCGAGTCTTTCTTCTTGCGGTTCGTAGATGGGATTGCCATCTTCATCGTGTAAGGGCTGTCCATGCTCGTCTAGGGCTGGAACTTGTTGGTGTTGCGGACCAAGGTCTCCATCTCCGGGTTTCTTTGGTCGGCCATGAGTTGCTGTCTTTGAAGTCTCCGGATTTCACGTTCTAGTCTTCCTATATCTTGGTATGCGGCACACCTGAGTTTTGACTTCTTGTCATGCACTGCAGATACCAAAAACAGAAACTAAAAGGAAAATGCGGTTATCGAAGAAAAGTAAAAATCAGAATTTAAACGTTAAACTTAAAGTATCTTAGAGGAAATCTCTTATCGAATTCAATGGTAGCTTGAATCACTCCACGGCAACGGCGCCAAAAAGCTTGATGTGCGTAGAATTTTACTTCAGAACTTTTACCTGAAAGACTACACGTTAAACTGCAAGTGCACAGTAATTAGAGTAGTATTTAAGGATCGATCCCACAGAGAGTGTAGCTACGGGTTATTGAATTCAAACAAGAAGATTTAGCTAAGACAAAACTAAACTTTGGGGTTTTGGTTTTGGGTTTCCTAATAACTAATGCAATGAAATAAGAAAGTAAATAAATGAAAGCTAAATGAACTAATGAAAGCTAAGATGATAATCGGTTGTAAACTAATATGACTAAGGCGTTGGGCGTTCTAGGGTTTCTTCGGGGATCATGATTCTCGACTAACTAGGGTTTAGATCTCTAGGGTTTTTATGTTTTCGTTCTAGTTCATAACTACGAAAGGCGAATGAACGAGTTATCCTATGTTATAGAATATGCCGGCAAATCTCCCTATACTCTGTTACTCAACTGACGCAGGCAACGACGCATAGATCAACGCATTAGGGTTTGATTCGCTAAGTACTCTAAGTCTTGTTACTCAACTTACGCAGGCAATAATACGAAGGATTGGTAACACTATGTCCGAGATTAGGTTTACCCGATTAGAGCTCCTAACCTCTTGGATCAGCGTTTGGTGATCAATCCAAACACATGCATTAAGTGAAAGATGTCCCAAAAGAATCTAAGTATGAACGAAATTATAGATCTATAAACCTAATATGATTTGAACCATGAATCCCCTTTGAATCACCCATAAAACCCAACAAAGAAAACTACTCGCTCATGATGCTAAGAAACGACATGGAGATGAAGTAGAAAAGCATAATAAACGAATATGAATAAACAAAGGGGGTTCAAAGGAAACTTCCCTAGTGTCACAGAAGATACTTGTCTCCCCAAAAGTCTTGAAAAAAAGAGTAGAAGAGAAAACAATGTAGAACAAAGGAGAGAGCTTCAAAGGACAACTTCTTCGGGATGCAAGAGCTTCGACGAGGTGGAGCTAGGAGAGCTGAGAGTCTCGTCGATGGAGGCTGCGAGATCTAGGGTTAGGCGGTGAGGAAGCTGTGAAGGAGGCCGTAGGGTTTCCACAACTTGTCTCGGTATTTATAGGCTTCGATTAGGTCAAGGGGTAAAACCGTCATTTCCCACAAATTTGGTTAAATGAGGCTCGAGTTTCTGGAGAGGGTACGACTTGTGATGACCGGGGTGAGACGTGAAGAGCAGCTCGGGCACGGGCACTCACGACCGGGGGCGTCAGAAGGCTCCGGACCGGTCGCGAGGCTGTCTGGCCGGTCCGGGACATGTCTTCACTCTTCAGGGCATAACTTCCGATTGGCTTGTTGAAAAGCTCCGATTCCACTTTGAGGCGAATCTTGACTCTCCGAGCTTTCGAAAGCCACCGAGATCTCTTGATTTGGTAATAGGGAAGACCTCGAATGGACGCCATACTTCTGAGGCACAGAAACTGTCTTGAAACGGGATTTGATCATCTTTTACTCCTTTTTGCTTGAAAACACATTATTCATTCTTGAAGCATGAATACTTGAAAACATCCTTGAAATCCCCAATTCTATTTTCTCCATGGAAAACCTAAATAAAATATAGTAAAAGTGGGCTAAAATACGATGTTATCAATGAGCCTCCTACGAAGAAGGAGAAGAAGAAGAATGTGGTTGTCTCTAAACAAGTTAGTGCAATAATTCAGAGCAGGATTCCAGAGAAGCTACTTAATCCAGGAAGCTTTGTGCTAGATTGCACTATCTCTAGAGGAAGGTTTCCTCGTTATTTTTATGATCTTGGCTCTTGCATCAACTTGATTCCCCATTCTGTTGCTGTAAGACTTGGGATGACTGATTCCAGGCCTACTTGGATTATTCTTCTCTTGGCTGATCATTCAAAGAGAATCCCTGAAGGTATCTTAGAGGATGTTCGGGTTAAGATTGGTGAATGTTTAATTCCAGCTGATTTTGAGGTATTAGCATATGATGAAGAGCCTCTAGACCCTCTTATTCTAGGAAGATCTTTCTTGGCTACTTCAGGTGCTTAGATTGATGTGAAAAGCGATCAAATTGCTTTGAATGTGTGTGATGTGGTTAAGATTTTTGACATGGATAAGTCAAGAAGGACAACAACAATAGATGGTCAATCTTTCTCTGTCAAAACTTCCACAGATGATATTGCTGCAACAGAGGCTGCGATGGCCAAACTGAGTACTGAGAATCGATCTGCATAGATGGTGTCAATCGACACCATTACTTGTATCGATCGACACCCACGACAAACAGAACCAGAGTTGTCCAACAAAGCTGCTTTTCGAGTTGGAATCGATCCTATAAGTCCTGGAACTATTATCACTGCACCTCCACCACTCCATCCACCTCCTAAACAGCTACGATACTCACGTTCTCCACCTAAACCTCCTGATTTCATCAATAAGATTTTAAAATTTTCCAAGACTGATTCACGGTTAAGCAAGCCACGAGTTTCTCGTCCAGCGCTTGTTCGTTCTTTTGATGATTCAGAAAAAGGAGTATTCCACCCATACCTAAGTCCCTCCCTGCTGATGTTCCTCACTTCCTAGGCCGTGCTCACACACCAACTGCTTACACACCACCATGGATGATTAGACGTTTTTCCAGGAAGTATTTACTGCCCCCATATGATCCACCTGATGCCTAAACTCAGACACAGTCAAGCTAATGAGTGAAAACAAGCGCTTAGTGAGAGGCAACCCATTTGTATTCGTTTTTCTTTTATTTTTATTTATGTTTTTCGTTTTATTTTTTTTCTTTGCCAACTTCGGGTTTGTATGCCACTAGGGACAGTGTCATTTAAGTCTATGGGCAGTTACTAATTATGATTTTCTTTTTGAGTGTTATTCTTCTTTTTTTTTTGAGTCGTTTTATTGAGTCAAAACATTTTTTTGAAAATTATGATCTTTTTCACTAGTTTGTGCATGGTTAGTTTAATGCTGGAGATTCAAGTCAATCCGACTAATAAAAAATCCTGAGAGTTAATCAATAGACCAGAGGATATCCACGTTTTCAACACAATACGCAAAAGCCTGAGTTAAGTTTGCGCTCTTCACCTCATCATTACGGTTAGTATTCGTAGAACTTGACTCGTCGTTTATACCTGATAATGAGACAAATGTGGAAAAAATAATGGTATTTCTCTCCCTAAAAGATATATAAAAAAAAAGATTGAGATGATTTTCTTTTGGAGTAAAGGGATAGGAAAATTTCCAGTGATCTCATTATTTTACTTAAAGAGGAATGATCACACGAAGGTTGGAAGCAAGGCTAGGAAAATTTCCGATGATACCATTATTCGCCTACACCTTTAAAGCTAAAACAAAAAGAATGATTCAAAAAAGAATAAGTCTGGGGGACAGAATGAGTAGCAAAGAATGTGAAAAAGGTTACTTTATCATGGTATAGTATGTGAATGAGTCTAGAATGTTCTTGAGTACTGATTTTATTGATGAGATTTATGCGATCAAAGCTATAGGATATAGTTGTAAAATTTGGTTTGAATGATCAAGCTAATAGGCTAGAGAAATTGGGATTTTCTATGTTTTCAACCTTCTTCCACGGGTTCGGTTTTTGTGTATTGCTTGAGGGAAAAGCTAAGTCTGAGGGAGTTGATGTAACATGGTTTTTACGGTTTTGAATCATGATATAAGTATGGGTTTTAGAGTCTTTTTGTTATTTCTAGAGTCTTTTCTAGTCTTTTCAGGTTTATGCACGTGTAGGACCAATTTGGAGATTATGGATCATTTTGGAGCAAAACCGAGAAGTTGTGCTACAAGAGCAATCCGGAGACCAATCTTGGTGTCGGTGTCGATCGACACTATCCCCGGTGTCGGTCGACACCAATATCTGACGGCAATTCAATTTCGCGTGTCTTTGTAGTGATGAAGATTTCCAGAATCGCTCAGGAACGTTTTCCTATTTTCAAAGAAGTCCCTGCACGTTTTTAAGAACATATATATAGACTTTTAGTGTTTTGTTTTAAAAATCTCATAGATCGCTGATTCTATTGTAATCTTTGGAGCTTGAACCCTTTGAGAGATAATTGGGGAGAGCT